CACACACACTTCCCCCCCCCCCTTCAAAAATGTTTCGCTTCAAGCCACTCGAGGGGTGATATAAGCATCCCCTTATAGTGGATTTTTGAAACAATGCTCTTGTCTGTTAGTGGGAAGTAACACTTATCGGGAAACGGGTCCAGCATCCCATGCACATTGTGAATAAAGCACCAGCTGCAACCGCACACACACGGACTCTTGGAGTTGTTTATAGTGAACATGACAAACATAAACACAACATAATCACTACCATACGCCTCCCTTACCACATCAACAAACAAACTACAGTTTGCACACTCGTGCCCTCACGGTGAGTCAATCTGTTGTAATATTTGTGAATACACACGAGTCTTCAAGCCTAGACAGGGTAAAGCCTAGGGCCAGCTCAAGATAAGAGGCCTAGGGGCAGGCCATATCAAGGCCCAAGGGTAACACCCAATAATCGATCGTTTGAAGTTGCAGATCAAAGAAGGTCATAGATAGGAAAAGGGAAGTCCAAAAACCTATGGACATAACTTACTTCAAGCGGGTTAGTAGTATTTATTGTGATATTTGTTAATATAGACGAGTCTTCAAACCTGGAACATGAGTGCAGATTCCTATCTAACAGGTCTATCAAACTTGTGCAGGAGCATTGGGCCCCTTTAGAGACCACGGTGATGCGCGGGCGATATAGCAATATAAAGGATGAGAATTGACATACATACATCCCTAGTGGGCCGAGCGCTGGCAATTGACAACGTTATTTTTTCAGCCATCTAGTACGGGGTTGCCTTCTGGCGAACACAGAAACAACTTGCCTGCCTGAAATGAACTTACCGTGAGGGCACATGTGTGCATCATGTAGTTTGTCTATTGATGTGGTTGGGGAAGGGTAAGGTAGTGATTATGTTATATTTATGTTTTGTCATATCCACTGTATACAACTCCAAGAGTATGTGTGTGTGTGTGTGTGCGAGCATGTGTGTGAGAGTGAGTGTGTGTGTGTGTGTGTGTGTGAGAGAGAGAGAGAGAGAGAGAGAGAGAGAGAGAGAGAGAGGGACATGCAACACACAACATTATCAAGCACTCCCGCACGGGCACCCTCCCAGCCACGCATTTTCACATTCAGGACACAAAGCGTTTTGGGAGCAGTGTTGCTTCGACCGAGTGCGTCGGCTATACCTCTCACAAGTTCCTACGACAAGATGGGACCTCGCAAGGCATAACTTACGCCCACCCAGGGAGCTGCTACCATTCTTGGGTGGGCGTATCCCTGTCGAGCTACTGGTCTACATATGAAAGTTTTTACATGCGAGTGCAAAGGCGGATCATTCAAGGGCGAACGAGAAATGCACTCGATTGATCCACGTTTGCGTCCCCATGTGAAAA